TAAGTTTTTAATATTTTAATCTTTTTTAAACAATCATTTTTGTCATAGAAACGCATATTGTTTTAATCACTTTACGATAATATGATATAATAATATATATTATACAGTTGACAAAGCAAAATTATCAACTGAACTTGACTCAGAATCGTTTTTTTGTTAGCAATGGTTTATCGTTAATTACGGATATATATTCAATTTCAGTTTGTAGCCTACCTTCCCAACTTCCCAACTACAATGGTAGCTGCACTCACGTGCAAAGTATGCCTATGCTTTTTTTATTATACGCGTTCATAGTAACTAACAGAAAAAAATTACTAATAGTTTACTACTTTGTAAATACAATTAATATAATTTTATTTAATTACCAATTTCAAGCAATAAAATATCAGGAAATTCTAATGAATTACAACGTTTTTCTATGTGAACAAATAGAAAGTATTGCATTTGTGCTTATATTACAAAGTCAATTTCTTACTAAGTTAATTTTTTACTAAGTTCGTCCAACTTAAACACTTCTCTACTTCCACATTTGACCATGGTAGAACCAAAAGACATTTTGCTAATTTACTTAATACACAGAAATGATTTTCACCTGAACTATCTATATAATAAAATATTTCAGTCCATAATTCAACTGTTGATTTTGTTTCAGTATAATGAATTTAATTTTTGTCATTGATAATCATGTTATCTATGTCATCTATGTTATCATATATAGTTCAATGTTTAAAACATAGACATTCACTTGTAGACCACACTCAGTATATGTTTTCCATGGCTCAAAAATCAGCCAACATCTGATAAGCAAAGAGAGGTGTTCAGGAAGAAAAAAAGTAACATTTTTTGTTTTTTCCTTGAATAAGTATAAAAAGTTGTATGTCTGATGCTCTGATATTTCTAATTATATGAATTATTATAAACTTATTAGACATTAATATTTAGTAAGTCAATGTTAGTTCTATGTATTATTGGCATAAGTACCTATAATTTATTATTTTATAGATATTCAACATATTCATGAAAATAGAAAACATAAACATTTTTACTAATTACTTAACATAAAATATTGTGAATAGTGAGTTATAGTATTAGTGCTTTGGTGCTTTGGTGCAATAAGATATTATATATAATAGCGTCATGCTGTCAATGTTGCATTTAGTTTATTCACTTTAGTAACTCATTCAGATTAATTTTCTGGATCAATAATTACACTTTTTATACCATTAATTGAAATTATAGGAATTGTTTCTGAAAATTTTAATTATTAATAATATTTTTAGTTTTTATATACAGTACCTATAAGTAATATATTAAATGTTAATATTTTTTATAATTGATTCCCAACCTTTTTCTATTATACAGTTTCCAGTTTTTGGAGGTTTCACCTAAAAGTGCATTGACAGCATATGATAAAGTTGGAGGAATGTGAATGGCTGTTAAGCCCAGATATAAAATTGTTTGTCTTTTTTAATGATAGTGGCTGTGTATTTGAAAATGTATTTTCAGGTATGACTGATGAAATGTAACAGTGAGAGCTGTAGTTACAATGGCTAATGTATATATCTTCTATACTCAAGATAAATATAAATTATTACATACAATGTTAGCATCTATATTGATACTTTAAAATAATTCAAAATAAAACCTTTCTCTAATTTTTTTTGTCAAATTCAATTCCTTGTTTTTGGAATCATTGATGTTGTTGATTCAATAAGTATCTTCTGCCTCCTACATAGTATACTAGTATTTATTCAATTGATTGTAATTAGGTAACTAAAATATTGTATAATATGAAAATGTATATATTATATTAACCATTCTATGTATTTGTAATAGAGTTGAATGAGTTGTTGGAATAGCATCTACACACAATTTTGGTCTTTTCAAACAAATCTATGAAAAACAGTTATTATTACTAGTAATTATCGCATTCATATAGACAAATAAATAATGTATGCATATTTTTAACTGTGGTAATTAGTTGTTACTAATTCTTTATAATAAATATTATATATGCTAAGTGCAAATAAAAGACTTGACAAATGAAATAATTTTTGTTAAATCAATATTTTATTAATTTTATAAATAGTTTATAGACACTCAGCCTATACATACAATATTTTATATTTTTATTTGTGAGGTCTTTTAACAGTTTTAAACTCATAAATTTAATAATAGAAAATGTCAAGGATATTAAAATACTTAAGGTAAATAAATATAATTTAACTATTACATACTGAGTATTTATTTATTCCAGAGCTCAAGACCTACTTAGTAATAATATCTTCAGGTTTAAAATGCTTTTAACAAACCCTGGAATTATTTTTTAAGTTTATTACTAAATAGAGCATACTCAATAACGTTTCTATAATTGCAACACATTTTTGGGTACATCAAAAGTACTAAAACTATCAGTTTTGGTACAATGTGGAACACAACAATTCTTGTTTATTTTAAAAATAAAAGCAAAATATTTAAAAATTATTATTTTTTGTAGCAAAATATATAGTAGATAAATAGGAAATTTCAATAATATTATCATCATGTGTATAATGTATCTTGAAAATTAATCAAGATGTATATATATTATACTTATGTACAATATTATTATATATCAATAAAGATCGAGATTAATATTAATAATTTGTGAATATTTTTCATTATAAAAAACGCGGCAATGTCAATATTAATATTACTTATATTATAATACTAATATTGTACAAGATAATTCCGCTGGTAGCGATAGCGATTTATTTGAACATCTGATTTTGCCAGAAGATTTCGGTTTCAAGATTTTGAATTGTTTATATTGGCCGATTCCCAACCTGTATATTTTTAATCGTGATATGATAGTTAATATTATGATCCTCATCGTTATGATAAACTTTAGAAATTATTCTTGTAAAAGTGAATCCATAATGGCCATTTATGTTGATAAACAATAACGTTATGATTGAAAAGAAAATTATTCAAATTTTCTAAAAATTGTAGAAAATAAAACACAATGTAAATTATAGCACAGAGGCATACTAATTATTTAAAAAAAATCTATCTTAAAAATATTGAATAGAACAAAAGTTATTTCAAGTGGCGATCATCGTGAGACATTTTGTATAGCTGGTATATGTTTGACTTTACTTTTGATTTGTCTTCATATAGTATTGGATTAAACTTTCTGGTAGAAAGTGTTTACATAAAAAACAAACAAAAATATAAATATTTTTGTAAAACCAATATAATTTTTGATCCACTCAGAATCTTAAAAAACAGGCAAATGCAGTGATAGGTAAATAATATTATAATAACAAAGAATAGTATATTATAAAATATCAATACATAAATGTATTAGATTTAATTTTTATTTAGGTTTTTTTTTCTTGCTTGTTTTGTTGTAAATTTTTTAAGCACATCTGAATAATTCAAACTTTGTGAGAATAATTTCTATGTTTAGAACTGCTAGATTATTAAATCTTTCTGAAGACATAGATGATCTTAAATAATTTTTTATTCGAAGAAGTGTAGAAAAAGACATTTCAGTCTAACAGTTTGTGACCAAATTACACAGGAATTGTATATAATTTGAGTAATGCTCCTAAACCTTACAATGTTCTTAAAGAAACATCAACATATAGCAAAAAAGACGGATATACTTCACACAATGAGTGCAGCCACTGTTGATGGTGAGAAGTTGGAAATGTAAGATATAGAGGGAAAATCAATTTGTATCTGCAAGCAACAATAAACCGTTGCTTACTAAAATCGATTCTGAGCTAAATTCAATTGATAATGATGCTCTATCACAGACAGAGGTCAACAATATATAAGTTATATTATGATAAAATAATTAAATGGGTATTATTATGTATTTTCTTTAATCAAATTTGATAAATATTGTACCGATTTTCCATTTTTTTCTATATTTTTCCTAGTTTTCCCACGTTTTCTCCCGGTTTTTCAAATTTGTTGAGAATACTCTTGGGAAAATCGAAAAATGACCTCTATAAAGTACTTTCTCAGTTAGATTTCCTTTCAGAAGTTTAGGTAGTAGGAGAGTGGTGGTGCATCATTAACACGCCGCGCGCCGTGTTACCACATAAATGATCCTCCAGTACTCTCCTCTAAACCAAACAAATGTCAATGGATTGACAGAAATCAAACACTTAAACACCAACATTTATTTAAACTAATACTCCATCTATTCGTGTAATTTTTAGTGTAGGTTGCCATTTGAAAATCGAAAGTAGATAGTGGTTTTCACCCAAAAATAAGGGTGATAAAAATAACATAAATATAAAATTGTAGATCAGATTATTTCTTAAATGTTCTGGAAAATAAATTCCGAAAAAATTTAATACTTTCCGAGATAATGAGTGTCTTATAATAAATTGATTACCCCGTATAAAAAATGTATGAATTATTTATATAATTTATAATTTTCCCGAAAACTTTTAATAATCGCGTGAAAAATTAGCGCCCCCTAACATATACCAGGGGAGATATTGCCTCCCCCCCCAAACCACCCCTTAAATATGGCTCTGGCTGTCATCCTGTCTCCACATATGTGGTATGAAATACTTTTTAAATTATTTATATTAATGAAAATACAAAATTGCACAAAAAAAAAGAAGCAAAAATTCACAATAAATAAATAAATTAGAAATGTAAAATACGTATCTGTATTTCGTACTTCAATAACACAAAGGTAATTTGGGACCTGGAACGTTTAGTAAATTTGTGTGCATAAAACTACGTCATAACAAATAATATAAGTCAGTGATGCATAAGTAAAAACAATAATTTTTCATAAAGACTTTTTTTTACGATTGGTAACACTGACTTAAGAATGTTTTATTTGTTTACATTTTTGAGGATTACGTGGCTCGAATAGAAAGTACACCATCTGGTTTTATGTAATCTATTTTATCTGTTTGTAAACTTAGAAAAGATAATGACGGTAAAAATTATCTTGTTATTAAATTAAATTTAATGAATCAATAGTCATGGCCATAGTTGTGGATTATATTATTAAAGTTTTTAATGAAACAATTAATGTTTTTAATGAAATAATCAATGATATATATTTAAAGTTAATATTGAAACATTCTCCAGCCACTTTAGGAGGAATGTTAATTGCATATACCTGCTTAGTAGTCATGATGTTAGTGCCTATACTTTTAGAATATTTCCATTCAAAACAATCGCATGTACGCAACAAAGTTAGTACCATTCACTATTAAATTATATTATATTGATTAATATTCAAATTTCTATTTCTAGGTAAAAAAAGGATTACCAGATTTAGTAGCAACAATAGATGTTGTGAAGTTTGGAGTTATTTTTTATGTTGTTAATTTTACAGTCTTCATTAAAATATTAAGGGTATAATATTCTGCTATTTATCAAATTTACGTTAGGTAATAGTTCATTAGATATTTTATTGAGTATATGTCAGTAATTAAAAAATTAAATGACAAAAAAAAAAAAAACAACCATCAAAATTCATAAAACAAATTATGAACAGTTATAATTTTAAACAAAACAAAAAAATTGATTTTTCATAATATTATTTAAATCGTTTTTATTGTCAGTGTTTTTGTATAATATATTATTTGTTGAATTTTCTATATAAATTATTAAGTTTTCTAATATAATTGTTCATACTATTTTACTTATCATATTATACTGAACTCATACTATATACTCTCCCCCTTCAAAAAAAAACAAGCATTATGCTTAAAGGGGACTAACAAACATGTATCTTATGTTGTATTTTTTAGTTGTAACTATTTATGTATGGTTTTGTTAATTAAATTATTATTATTATACAATTTTATTAAATTCCACATTGTACTTAAGACATTATTTTATTAAGTAGATATTACACTAAAATTAATATTGTAACTATATGGTAGTTTTTTGATTCTTTCTTATTTTTGTTTGCATGGTCAATTCACAATTATTGTTTTTATTTCAAATTTACTAATTGTTTTATGAATTTATGAATTGTACAACTATAGATTGCTAAGGATGAATATAAAGAAAAAGTAATGTATTTTTTAATCCATTAAAATACAATTATATTTTTTTTTTTTTTGAGTAATTTTTTTTGGAATTAAATTAATTTTATATTTTAAATATAGATATTTCCTGAAGAACTTAAAAATTTACTAGTTACTTCATATTACTATATCCTTATAGTAGAAGCCTTAAGTAATCTTTTAGGGTAAATATACATAATTTAATTATTTTTTTATGAATATATACATGTTAACAATATATTCATAATATTTATGCAAAAGACATGTAACATTTTTTAGCAATCAATTCAGTACCATGTTGCCCAAAAAAATACCTAAAACTCAATATAAATTGCGATTAACAAAAGGCAGTGGTAAAGGTATATTGAATTGGATAAATATAAAATTTAATTTACACGATGTTATATTTTTTATATTATGTGCAACATTAGGATCATTTTACATATTCATCAAGGTATATTTTAATTTAAATTTATTTTATTATTATTTTATTTTATGGTTTTATTTTTATTCTAGCATTGGATTGTAAACAATATATTTGTTCTAATATTCGCTATAGTTAGAATAAAAAGGGAATACTTCAGTAATATTAGAATTGGTTTATTCTTTTTAGTAATTTTATCATTCATCATTGAAATGTTGATCTTTGATACTAATGGTATGGCAATAGTTAACAAATCTTTTCATGCTCCGACCAAAAGTTAGTTCTCATTGTTCTAAAAAAAATATTTAACTTGTTTAATTTAATATGATAAATATACGTGGTGATATATATCTGTGGCTTGATGTAACAATAGCAAATGTATATAAAAAAAAATATAATACAATAATTATGTACTTAACATTAGATTTCTGTAAAGAAATTATTATTTTTATACTGGCTCTTTTTGCATTAAACCATATATGTATGTATTACATATATATATATATATATAGATGTAATCTAATTATTTATGTTCATTTTTTGTATTTTAGTTATTTTTCCTCTAGATTTGTTGGAAAATGGTATTTTTGATGCTAACAATTTTGCTGTGTTGAGCCTAGGTGACATTGTTATTCCTGGAATATTTATGGCTTTCTTATTGAGGTTTGACCAAAGGTATCTAGTTTTTTAAATAAATTTATCCATTTTAATACAAACTAATTTTTTTTTTATGTTTATAGTTTAAAGCGTAAAATAAATATATATTTCAATGCATCATTTTTGGCCTACCTTTTGGGCTTACTTGCTATAGTTATCGAGATGTGTATATATAAAACTACACAACCCACTTTATCACTCTTGATACTTGTAAGTTGCATTACTTCACTACTAGCTTTAATATTTGGAGATTTTAAGGCATTATTCAGGTAATACACTTTCAACCTAATTTTATTATCTAAACAATCACATGAGATTAACAAACATTTTTTTTTTTTTCATTTTTATAAAATTTAATTCTTATTATGTATTATTATATTTTTACAGTTATGAAGATTTTAATATCAAAAAAAAAAAGTCTCCCAAGAAATTAAATAATATTAAACTCTTAAAATTATTTATTAATTTCGTTTTTATACCTTAAAAATTGTATGCTGATGGAACAATAGTTTTTCTTCTATTATTTAAGATTTAATATGTCCACTTGCATGAAACAAATTTAATGTATGTATAATAAGAAACTCATCCATTCACAATAATTTATGATGTGAGTTATTAATGTATTTTATAATATATATTATTTTTATGTAATACATATACATAAACATATGTAAATGTTAAATTATTTTATTTATTTTATAATACACATACCTGATATATACATGAAATCAATAAATCAAAATCTACACATAGTCTGAGTATACAGATATTTGTTGTGTTGTCCTATGTGGTATTTTCACAGTCAATTTTAGTTTGTTTTTATGGATACACTATTGTACATTTAGCTCAATTTGAAAATGTGTTAGTTTAATTTCCCAAAAGAGTTCATGAAAAATCTTATTATAACCACCTTGATAGTACCTATAATTGTACCAATGTACATTAATCTACCAAAGAATAATAATGAATAGGCTCAGACAACAATTATCTAATACAATTTTTTTCTTATTATTTATTGATTTTATTGGTATTATATTATGTTTTATTATATTCCAAGGATGGCTGATCTCAAATAGTTTGGATGAAGTTGAAGGAGAAGAAGAAGATATTGGTAAAACTAATATGAACATTAAAACTAAAATCAAATAAAATATCTTTGAAATAAAATTAAGCTAAGCTAAGCAGAAATATAAACTGAAGGGGAGGGAACAAAGTTCATAACTATAAATATTTTTAATATAAAAACCATAATTTTGTTCAAATTTTGGATTTCTAAAAATGTCCAGGGCAGAAGCACATGGATTCCTTTGGGAGCTTTAATGAAAACTTCCCTTAATTTTCATTTTGTAAACTATGTTTTAGAAAATAATTATAATGTTGATTCTGATGTAAATAAATATTACTTACGACATTTTTTGTATAACAATACAACATTTATACTAATTCTGTTATGAAATAATTGCACACTTAAAATGAAGTTAAGGAAAATAAACTAAAAATCATCATGTACAAACAGATTTTAAAAAAGACAGATATACTTCGCATGATAAGTGGGTCACTGTTGTAGGTGAGAAATTGGAAAGGTAGAGGGAAATTAAATATATATCTGTACTCAACAATTAATCATTGCTAATGAAAAACGATTGTGAGAGGAGTTCGGCAATACATGTGAAAGATCATAATACTTAAGATTTGAAAATAATACATTTCATACATATTTTTCCATTTATTGTGAAAACTCCTGGGAATATTAAAACATGACTTTCTTAAAGTACTACCCCAGTTAAATTTCCTTTCAGAAAAAGTGCTATAGTTGAAAATCAGAACTAAATTACTGGTAGAAAAGTTGTCCACAGAAAAAAAATAAATAACAACATTGTAAAATCAATACATTTCTCACTTCCTTCAAAATCCAAAATTTTGTTTTACATCAGAGTTGATGAAACTTTTTTTGGTAGAGATCTACTAAGAATATGTTTTTCCTTTAAGTATTGACTTTTTAATGTAAATGTATTATTATAAATTACCTCATAGGTATTAATAATAAACATACATTTAAAGCTAATAAATAATAAAGTATAAATTAATATAAAATGTAATAAAATGTAAGTACATTATAAGATTATTTCATTATGTCCATGCCATTGTTCATCAAAATATTAAGACAGATTAATTATTAACATTGTTATTATACAATTTATTTTTGATAGAAAAACATTAAGAACACAACTTGTAACTATAGATAAAGTAGTAAATAATAATAAGTGTTATTATTTATACACTGTGTTTGCCTTTCTAGGTAACATTAAAAATTTGACCTGATAACTTTTAATTAAAACCCCACTTTTGGCAGGTGATAGGACTGAAATACATACTTGAGGATATATTTAAATTTTTTAACCCTAGTGAATGCATCTGTAATAAAAATTAGCTTTTATGAATAGCAACAGTCATTTTTTAAATAAGATCTATTTATTTTTTTTAATTCGTATTTTTAACTAATCGATACATATTTTTTTATTTTTTTAGAATAACACTTAGTATATAGCTATTTTAAGTTTGAACTATATTTATATATATATTTTTATATATATGTACATTGTACTGATATTTGTGTTAAAATGGAATGATTTATTGGAAACTCTAGATAAATACCTTTGGTCAAACCTTAATAAGAAAACAATACATATTTCAGGAATAATAATATCATCTAGGCTCTTTACAGCAAAATGGTTAGCAGCTAATATACTATTTTCTAAAAAATCTAGAGAAATAATAACTAAAGTAAAAAAAATAAACATAAATAATTAGATTACAATTTGTTTATACAGGATATCTCAGTGTTTAAGGGATTTTTCTAAAACTATAAATATAACATACTTTTTCAATTAGATTTTCTTTCAATTTTTTTTGTGAAAAATTGTATTATTATTTACAACTTCTATTCTCTGTTTGAAAGGATGTCTTAATTAAGATTTTCATTAAATTTGAACTTAAAAAAAAAATAAAATTTCTCAGTTTTGGGAAAATCATAAGATCATTAATATGTCTTATGGCAAGCCATACAGGAATTTTCACTTATAAATAATTTTCAAAATAAGTATTTTAACCATTTTTAATTTCACCGTTTAACGGTAGGTTTACACAAGATGTGAGCCTTGTAGTCTTTAGAAGCGTGGGTCACAGTTTGTGTAAACAGACAATTCATACTTCACGATTGTGATATTATTGTCTACGAACCTGTCACGACTGGCTCGTGCAATATCAAACCATGTTAGATATTTCAGTCGTGAAAGCTCAATTGTGGTGTACTGTTTGTCTGATTATGTATATCTTATTATAACATTTTGACTAAAAATACTTGTAATAACTTAAATTATTTTACTCAATTGAAAGTTATTTAATTATAATTACAATTACATTTATTATTTTATTATTATATCAACAACATGAGTGTAAATAAAAACGTTATGAAAATGAATGACGAACAAACAATGCATTTTATAGACTTTTATGAAAAAAAATTAGTTTTATGGAACACTAAATTACAATCTTACAGAAATAGAGATGCTAGAGGCGAAGCTGTGAAAAGAATAGTATTAGGCATGAATATTGAAGGTTTGTTATTTTTATTTGATTATGTCTATATTTACTTGATACATCTAGTTCAACTAAAGAAAATAATAGTTTCATTTTTAAGGTTTTGGACCTGATCACGTTATAAGTAAATTTAAAAATTTAAGAAGTTCACATTGCCAAGAATTGAAAAAATTTAAATTAGTAAAAAATCTGGAATATCTTTAGAAGATGTTTATGTATCACACGTAGTTTGGTTTACCAAAATGAACTCATTTTTAAAACCGTATGTGATTATATGAGATACATGCTCAAATTATGTAAGTATAATATTAAAATATATATTTCAATAATTAATTACAAAAATCAAATATGTTGATTTTATTTAATTAATTCCATTGCCAAATAACAGCTCCTTCTCCGTTGACATATGCACAATAGTCATATCTAATTTTCTTAGCATTTGTACATTCATTTCTGTGATTTGTTGGTTGAAAATCTACGATGTAACTTTGATTTTGTCTCCACGATCCATTTGTGATTTCATAGTTATAATCTTCGTGATCAATAAGACCTGGTAGTAAATAGACTTGACTTGTTTTTCGTAACCAATTATGTATTGCACAACAAGCGAAAACAATTTTATCGACTTTATGAGCTATCAATGGGATTGGTCTTTCGAAAATTCTAAATTTGCTCACAAGTATACCAAAAGCATTTTCTGATATTCTTTTAGCCCTGGATAATCTATAGTTGAAAATTGCTTGTTCTCTTGTTAAATTTCTTCTGTTGTACGGCTTCATCAAATACGTGTTGAGCAGAAAAGCATCATCAATTACAAAAACAACATCGTCTGGGGTATTTAGAATATTGTTTTCTAATGCTTCAAAAAAACAGCTTCCTTGAAATAGACCACCATCTGATGCCTTTCCATTTGCACCAACGTCAATGTACGTGAAACAGTAATTGTGGTCAATTAATGCTAATAATATAATACTCTACTGGTGTTTATAGTTNAAAATTTAAAATTGTAAAATATTCAATTTTCAGGTGATATCAAATGAAAACAAAAGTAATGTGAAAAAAGTGACCAAGAAAATCAAGCTATGTATGACTCAAATAATAGTTCTCAAGTAGAATCCAGTATCAATGAACTAGAATCAAATTTAACAGAACCTGATATAAGTACTAATGCAAATAATACTAATATTACAACTATTAAAAGAAAACTTTTTAAAAGTCCACAAAAAGAGATTGGAATTTGAAGAAAAGAAAATTTGAGACTTTTAAGTCGAGTTCTAGTGAGACTGACACTGTGTTAGCTGCAGTTAAACAATTAGATGGTATAGCTGAAAGAGTTCAAAAGTTGGCTCAAAATAGTAAAAAAGAAGACAGTTTTGATCAGTTTGGAAAATACATTGCATCAGTATTAAGAGATCTACCACTTAAAAAATCATACTTGTTACAACAAAAGATGACCAACATGATTATGAATGAAATCATAGAAAATGATAACCAAAATGCAATTGATGAACTACAAAGATCTTCTAGCCTTCAAACTAGTACAGATACAAGTGATTTCGGATCTCCAGCTATGTTTGATGAACTGTTATCAGAAACCGAAGATTATATGCTTACAGACTTATCAAATACACAACTATAAATTGTTTTAAATATTCCTATTTATATTAATTAGTATTCAGTAACTTCAGGTAGAAATAAACTGATGGTATATTTAGGAACTCTAAAAAAATATTTCAGGCTTTTAAATGAATTACCCGTTGCTAAGTAGCGAAGTGTTAATTTGAGTTTAATATCTGCTGGAATAGCTTCCCTCATTGTTGTGTCCATTTTTTGAATCTTGAATTTTATTTTATTCAACAAATAGTAAAAGTGTGTATCTGACATTCTTAAAATGTTTTTGAAATCTTCCGGATTTTCATTTCGTAACTCGCGTGAAATAAACATAGAACCGCCATTACTTTTACGCTTTTGAATCCATTGCTTCCACCATCTCCTTTTCTTTCTACTTTTTAACTTAGATCTATCACTTTCTGTTAATCGTTGTTTCAATTGTTGAGCCAACACACCAGACAAAATAGAACATGCTTCCGCCACTAACAACTCCATCTTACTGAACTAAAATCATTTTAACGTGTAAACACCTTCACGATTCGTGAGTCTCTTTTTGAAACCACGCTCGTGAGTCACAACTTACACGATCGTGAAATACGCTCGTGGTTCACGTCTTATGTAAACCTACCTTTACAGAAAGATTATATTATTTATTAAAATATGTTCAAAAGTTATGGAGAAAAATCTCATTTTTTCTTGTAAATTTATCACATTTATCACAATTTATCAAATATATTTGAAAAAAGTTGTATGAATTAATATATATATATATTGCACTGAAGAACAGAATATTATAAATGCGTATCATATGATTTTAATATTACACGAATAATAGACACAGAGGATTACAGACACATGAGGATTTTAACTCAATGTTAATAAGAACTGAATTATAGGTTAGGTAATTAATTTATTTTATATTACTTATCAAATTAATATGAGAAAAGTCAATAAAAAAAAAGAAATTACCATGATACTAATTTTTATTTAAATATAAATCCATAATGTATAGCGTATAAAAAGTGAAGATAAAAGGGTATTAACGAATGATGAAGATGTACAAGAGAAATGGAAGAGTATATTCAGAAATTACTGAATGAGCAGTATTCAAGAGAGACATTACATCACGCTATCCAATCTTGTAGTTTATATGGACGTTGGCTCATTCCCTTTAATATATTATAATATTAGATACGCTACAGCAATAGGGTACTAATATAAGGTATGGGTTACAACGTTATAATAGATAATTCTTTGGCCATGTCAAATTAGACGTCTGATAGTAGTCGTTCGGTACCAAATCTACATTCTCTGGACGGGTACGGGTTTCTTAATTCGTCTCAACCATGGTCGATATCAGATAGTCGATATCAGATATCTGATAGCGCATCAGATAGCCCGGACAATTATCTACCAAGACCCCGGCGCAATACGAACGATCACGAACAACAGTACGTTTCACGAAACTAGCGACTCCGAAGTGGCGCTTGCGGTAGTGGATTTTCGTGAGGGTTTCCTAAACGTGTGACTAAAGAAGCGCGGTAATTTAAAAATGTTATAATTATTGTAAATATCAAAAGAAAATGTATATTTTAGTATATTATAATAAATAATAAAATATATTATATAATAAATAAAATAATTATTTGTATTCATATTTTTTAAAAATCGTGCAGTATTCCAAATTGCTGCGTATTGTGTGCAAGTTTGAAGAAACCGCGGAACACCGAAATTTCGTCACCGGAAGTGTCACTGCGGAGTCTCTAGTTTCGTGAAACGTACCGAAACTATTTTAACAAATAGATAAACCAATATGATCAATATATATATATATAATTACTCTATATAACAAAATACCCATGTGCGTATTCTCGCTAGACCCGGATGTAGGAACTAACGTAGAGGTTAACATCCGACTAAGCAACAACACGTTAGTGTCGAAAAACGCGGACTAAGCATATCTAGATAGGGGCTTCAGGGTATATATGCCGGCAGCCAAAAACGCCTTTTCAGGCAAATCTTACCTAACCTAACAACAGGAAATAACATTATTGTTAATGTTGGGTCAATAAATAACTTATAAGGTGTTATAATTGTAGCGGAAATTATTACGCGAGGTACTGTAGACGCGGGTCAAACAACCGCGGTGGGTTATCGCAATGCGCGCGCCCACCAAATTCAAATAATTTTAAGCGTTCACCTACTAATTATAATACCAAACACATTGCAATCGAAAAGGGTTTTAATGAATATCATCTAAGATGGAATAATAATAATTCGGGAATAGGCAGACGTCGAATGCGCAACGCGAGGAGCGTCAGAACATGTAATAAATTTAAAGAAAGATCAAACGCCAATTTCATTCAACGACCTCATCGATTACCGCATAGTCAACAAGAAGATATAAATTCTCAAATTCGGAAAATGGAGGAAAATGGTATTATAAAACAATCCACGAGTCCTTGGAACGCTCCCTTACTTTTAGTTAAAAAGAAGGAGGATACAAGTGGGAGAGAAAAATTTAGGATAGTGATAGATTTTTGAGCATTAAACGAAATAACGTTAAACGAGATTCATCCACCGTCTAATGTAATCGAAATATTAGACCAGCAGGGATAGTGCCAACTGTTTAGCGTTGTAGACTTAGCGTCAGGTTTTTACCAAATTTCATAAACAAAATCATCACACGAATTAACAGCCTCTTGCGAATTTATAAAAAGAGTGTTATTACGAGAGTATAAAATAGTTGTTACGGTCAGTTACATATGCGCGAACGGTGTGCTCTTAAATTGGATAGGGTACACGTCGATAAAAATGTAGATAACTGAGATTATTTCTTATCTTACCCATTTTTCATTTATAACTCTGTACAACATTCATCAACAAACTGTGAACCATATGAATAATTATATAGAAGAACCTTGACCATACCCTTAAAATTAAAATCAGACCTAGAACCTACATATAATTATGATGATTATCCCTATGATTTAAAACAGACCCTCCAAGTATCGCACAAAATAGTAAAAGAACGATTATTAGATAAAAAGCAAAAAGACGTCCTAGGATAATGGAGACGGGTGCAGCCACTGTTATAGGTAATTCAATGTACACCTGTAAGCAACGATAAACCATTGCTATCGAAAAAACGATTAGTTAAATAATTAAATGGGCTTTATATATTTTCTTTAATAATATTTGTTAATAATGTTGTACCGATTTTACCAGTTTTCCTACGATTTTCCCGGTTTTTCAATGTTTTATCCAGGTTTTATTTTTTTACATTTACTGAAAAAACTCTTTGGAAAATCGAAAAATGACCTCCCTAAAGTACCTTCCTACCCCGATATTCTTTCCAGAAAAGGTGCTACACTTAAAAATCTGAGTAAGTCTTTTGGTAGAAAATGTTTTCACAGATAAAAAAAAAACATCTTTATAAAACTATAAGCTTCTTCGCTTCAGAATCTAAAAGAGGATTAATAGATATAGTTGCAGAAAAAATGAACACATTTTTTGGCGTATATGATGGTATTTTTTTAGAGAAACATCGGAAGCAATTAACCAAACAAAATAAAGTGAGTCAAATAATTGCATGTAATGAAAGATCAGACTACAGTAGTAAAAACGACACTAAAACGAATAGAGAGCACACTAAATGAAACAGAAAATATGTATAACGAGTTAAAAGACAAAACAAGTTCTTTGTACAAGTCAATAACAGAAATTACTAATGAAATAGATTGGTAATAATGGTAATAACTAGCTAATTTAAGCACATATTTACACTACCTAATGCTATTTGCATATGAAACAACAACTTTAAATCAAATAGGTATACCAGTCGGAGAGAGAGTGTTACATTCAAACTTTATAACACTCAGTTAAATGTCTAAGACACTTAGGGATATAGAGCAAAATAACACTTACGATACCAATGGGAACGAGAGCGAGTGAGTTATACGAGCTACAAAAACTAACCAAAATCTTGCTGATAAGGTTCCATTCGTTTTTATCTGCTAGGTGTCTTGTTCTATGCCATGTTCTTCTTACTTTGCACTTTTGTTGAACTAGATTAGGGTGACCAGACGTCCCGTTTAACACGGGATTATCCCCTTTTTGGTCGTCATGTCCCGGTGTCCCGACAAACTTCGAACGGGACGCTTTTTATCCCGTTTTTAGAAGATGGTCCCGTTTTNTATTATGTTCGTGAAAAAAAAATATCGATGTATGAAACAAACATAAAACAGTTTTACTCGTACCTATATTTAAAATTTAAAACCAAATTTATAAAGAACAGATATCAGTTTTCGTGGAACGAACATAGAGTCTCAATACCGACGAAAGTAAAATTAGCGATAAGCGTGAGACACATTGTAGAGCATAATATGTCGTTCTACGTAATCTACGAACTTAAATATTATATGAAATATAATATTATTTATAATTTTATAGTTTTAATATATATATATATATAACTTTAAAATTAACAAATTAATTGTTTGTGATAAGACTCAGGTTTGTATTTTTACACTCTACGGTTGTGTGGATATGTGTGAATGTATATTATTGTATATAAAAGGGGTTTTTTTTGGGAGGAGTTATGTATGTCCCGTTTTTTTTTTCTATAAAAATGGTCACCCTAAACTAGATCTTTTATTTCCACAGGGTAGGTTATCTCACGATTACTGACTTTAGAAGTTTCAGGTGTTGACGTTTTTGCAGCTTCAACAATGCCATTGCTCAGTTTTTATATTGCTGTTTCGATTTCAGATAATGTTTTTAATCTTACTGAAATAGTTGTTGCTTTTTTCAAAAGTTCCCAATCTGTTTTATTGTTTGGCAGAAAGATTTTACGTTTTATCATTATAATATTTGAGCTTAACGTAACACAGGGATGTGTTCAGATGTTAGCTCTATTAGTACTTCAGCTTCAATATAATTAGAAGAGATATTAATTACGTAGAAGTCTAGTAGATCAGGGATTTTATTCAAATTGGTGGGCCAGTAGGTTGGCATCCTGGTAAAAATCATTTCAGCATTAATTGTGTTAGCTGCTTTTAATAAAGCACGTCCTTTTTGAGTGATAAGTCATGATTCCCAGTGAGAATGCTTAACGTTATTGTCTTCACCGACAATGAATCGATCTTCTAATTTTTGGAAAAACGTAATGAATTTAATTTCGTCTATAATAAATAGCCATAACTGGCATAAGGTAATAAAAAAGCCGCACCCCCTCGTGCTTTACCATTTGGGTGTAGAGTGGTGTAGATACTATAGTTTTTATTTTTATAACAGTTCACGCTGTAAAGTATATTTCTGAGATAAGAGTGATGTCTATATTTTCTAGCTGCAGAAGGTCTTCGAGTTTTTGTTTAAGCTATACTAGCTTATTGGCGTTCCATGCTACAATCCGCAGTATACAGTTCATTTCTTTTTCTTTTGAATTTTGTTATTAGTCTTGGATTGACTACTTTCCTATCTATCCAGTCTAAGTGTAACACTTTCTATTTATTTTGTTATTTTATTTAATGTGGTTAAGATGTCCACTAAAGTAGAATCATTTTTGTTGGACTGGACTGTTGTTGTATAAACGTATTGGACGTTTTGTCTGTAGTATTTGAAGAACCAGTCATCTGTGCATAAGAGACGTCCGCAGTAGGTTTTTTCACTGGTTTCTGCTGAATACGCTGTACTTCATAAACCTTTTTTGGATGAGCTCTTTCTTCTGCTTTCTTGTAGGCAGAGCAGCCCTTCCAGTTAGCAGTGCAGTCAGGTGTGCTTCACCACAATTTATACATTTTGGTACAAATACATATGAGTATAAAAAACAAAGGGAGGTTTAGGGTTGTTGCCAGCTAGTCGTCGGGGAAAATTTGTATTCATTGACTGGTTCAGTGTAACTTTGGGGACACCATCAATGTAAGATATCCGCAGTCGAATTTCAACAGTCTGAGTCCTACGATCCAGTTCAGAGTGAAAATTACGTAGCCGTTCACACTGTAAAGGAGTTTTATCCTTTACAATTCAAAAATTTGGAGGAAAATTAGAACCACTTTTTTTAGCATCACTGTTGGTTAAAAATAAACTTGAAGCATTATCTTTAGATCCAAGAAGTAGCTTGGGAAGGCGATGGTTGTCGGGTTGAATTTTACCAAGGCGAATTAGTTTATAAGAAGTAGGTAATGTGCCAGAAAATGGCAACACAATTCCTTCAGAAACCACTTTATTGTCAGAGAACAGCATTTTCCAATTTTATTTTTTATTGATAAATTGTAATAATTAATTTATATACATAAATATATTATAAGTACCTAAAATAATGAGTAATACAGTATGAATAGTATGATATTTTTGAACACTTTATACTTTTCCAACCGCCCCCCTCCCTCCTTCCCCACCGAAATATTTTCCTGCGTACGCCACTGCATAAAGTTGTAACAAGATACCATTGTGTGATATTGATGATAAGAACTCGTGATAGTGTATTCACAAACAACAAGAGCGACAGGATATTAAATTGGCTGGAACGCTTGAATGAAATGGATTGACACAACACATAATGCACGAATGAAGGTTTAGTTAAAATTAACGAAGTGGTAGGCAACTAAATTGACACAAGACGCCGCCCGACAAGTAGCAGCTAGGCAACAATACATTATAATGTTATCCATATGGTACTTTTGGGAGGTATTTTTTTAATTTTCTAAGCAGTTTTTATAATATCAAGAAAAGATCAGAATAAAACGTAAGAAAAACGTGAAATTTACGAAAATAATGCTTTTATTACTTTTAAATTTTGTTATTTATTGTAATTCAATTGAAAATATTCATAGACTTGAAATTTGGACAAAAATGTACGAGGGTTGTTCCAAAAGTAATGCACAGTGCGCTCTAGCTGTCTTGCAATGTGATATTATCAGCTGATTTTAGTATCAGTTTGTAGCTTGAAGTCTAAAGAACACGTGCGTTTTCAGTTTTAGTTGTTTTAGTAAAGTATGATGATGTGTGAGAGCGATAACGAAAGTGAGAACAATTTGTCGGCTCACATTTCTGTTTTTGAGCAACGCGCATACATTGAAATCGAAACGATTCGTGGTAAAACAGTGCCTGAAATTCATGCCGCGTTAAATGAAGTGTGTGGAACGGATACTGTGGATCGTAGTACGGTGTAAAGATGGCATCAGCGATTCCGTGATGGTCGTATAAGTATTGATAACAACCCTCGCTCTGGCCGACCCTCTACGGTTACTCAAGACAACACTAACGTGGCTATAATTGTCACTGATCGAGTTCCAATTGGCAGTAGTGTAACCGGGGATTACTACAAAACATTCCTTGCCAAAAAATTGCGACCAGAAATCCGTAAAAAGCGACCAGGAATGTTACAAAATGGTGTGTCCATATTGCACGATAATGCGCGGCCGCATATCGGAGCACCAGTCGTCGCTCTTTTGGAGAAATATGGATGGAAACGCCTCAAACACCCACCGTATTCGCCGGATTTAAGTCCCCCGGACTTTAAATTATTTACAAAACTGAAGGAACCACTTAGAGGGATCCGTTTTCCCAACTTAGATATACTAAATGAAGAAGTGAGCCGAAGGATCCGTGAACTCAACAAAGATGGCGTCCTATGCGGCATTCAAGCGCTCCCGAAACGATGGCAATCGTGTATAGACAAGCAGGGAGATTATATCGAAGGTCTATAATATTGTATTTAGTTTAAAATAAAAACTTATTTATTCAGAGCAAATTGTGCATTACTTTTGGGACAACCCTCGTATATTTACCTTTTCTAAACGAGGTAAAATTTTCAAAACGTTTGAGTCACTATCATCCTTATTTTTGGTGGTAAAACCAATATCTATTTTCAAATGGCATCCTATAAAAAAAATTTCATAAATAGATGGAATATTAGTTAAAATAAATTTTAATATTGACATTTTTGATTTCTGTCAAGCCGTTGACGTTCCCGTTTAAGTTTGGTCCGGAGGAGAGTAGTGTTGCACTGTTACACGCTGTGCGCCGTACCATCACACAAACGACACTCCACTACTTTCCTCCAACTTAATCTTAAAAGTGGAATATCTCGTCAACGGATTGATGGAAATCAAAAATTTCAACACTTAAATGTATTAAATTTATTACTCCATCTATTTATGGAAATTTTAATGTAGGTTGTTATTTGAAAATCAAAATTAGGTAATGGGTTTGACCCCTGAAAATAAGGGTGACAAAAAATAATATTATCATAAAATTGTAGAGTAGCTTGTTCTTAAATGTTCTAGAAAACAAATTCCGGAGAAAGTCAATACTTTCCGAAATAATGAGTGTACCAACTTTAAATGGATCACCTTGAATATAAAGATTTGAAGCCATGGCAGATATAGTGCAGGGTTTTGTTGCCTGGCGCTTTAATTTATCTCGCAACGTTTCCTAATGTAAAATTTTTAAAATATTCTTTACCAGTCTAACACAATATGTGTTAGACAAAATATAAAAGAAATTCTTGTTTTTACAGTTACTCGGTGATAATACCTAGCTGAAATTGCCGTGATAATCGCCATGACACCTCCCTATCGTGTACCGTTTCACTATATTTCATTTGTCATTTTCGCTGTTTAGGAGGTGGACAGTCGAGACAAGGGATTTCATATTGTTATTGGCATTTATGCCAAAAGATTTTGTACGTAGGTAACAGTTGTACAATAGTCCTAGATGTTCTATAAACACATGCAAGACGATCGCCATAATATTATATTATTATTTATGGGTTTTTTTTTCGAATATTATTAATTTCGTGTCACTGAATTCGTAGCCAGGATTCACGGCGGGAGCGTTATCGTTTCAAACAAACAGAAATTATCCTTCGTGCTGATTTTTTATTTTAGAATTAACATAGTGTAAACCAAGTCGTGAATTTATAAGTATCTATTACGCTAGTCATCAGATCGTGGAAGTGCGTTCTAGGGTTACCGAATTTCGTTCTTGGGCACATAAAAGTCGATATTGCACACGAATATGCGACTTTTTTTAAATATGTAGTTGAGAAAGTAGGATATGCAGCAGTGTTTGAAATTAAAAAATAAAAGAAGGGGTACTAGGATGCTTAAAAAAGTAGTGTTCCTTTTAATAATTGAATTCGATTTAATTAAGAAAAATTATAAATAGTACGCTAAAATATTTTTTTTTAAAAAAAAGTGATACTCGGTCTCCCACGACCTTCCCAATTCAAGCACCGCGATAAATCATTGCATTGAAAAGCGATTTTGAGTCGAGTAATATTAGTAGTATGGTAGTAATATTAGTAGCAAGGTTGTGATTTTAATCCCACAGCCAAGGTAACCCAGAACCCAGAATTCAACAAAAATATAACAATCGTTGTTAATTTCTTAAACTATTATACCGGACGAAAAATCAAAATCTTTAAACTTACTATGAGAATAATTCGGAGTTTTCTTACTAAAAGAAAAACAGTTTACTGAAATAAAACAAAAAAGAACTTATAGTTGAATTATTGACAATTTCGGTAAATGTTGCAAATAAACAATCACCAGCTAAAATTCCGGATTATTTAATAAGTTGCATACAAATTAAAGTAATATTTGCAAAACCAAAAAGAAAAAAATTAAAACTTTTTTATTTTTTCTAATCAAAAATACACATTTTCTTGTTAAAAAGAATAATTTCTTTGGTCCAATCTGAATCAAAAATTCCTAAAAATTTATTTCTTGGCGTTTTTGCAATTGGAATCATTTCAGAACTTACATATTTTAAATTCTGAGTAGAGCAAGGAATGTATTGGTTTTACAAATATATTTATTTTTATTTTTCTGTGGACAACTTTTCTAAAAGCAATTTTATGTTTCTTTCCCACGCATGATTGTTACTATTTACTCGTATAGATGGCGGTATTATTATCATCGCCGGAATACTTTTTCCGCTCGTTCATTCATGTGCGTCTTAGTATTAGTAAACCGCAGCATCAGTATCGAGTTGTTACAGAATATTTTCGTTACCTATTGACTATCACTAGTATTATTTTCTTTTCACAATTTTTTTTAAGTTATTTAATAGGCATCTAAAACCCTTTGATTTACAGGTAGAATATCCGAAACCAGTGTTGTATATACACATTTATTGGGGGAATGGATACGGAATATACATTTTAAGGAGGACCCTTTTTTTTTGAGAGAGAGAACAACTTTTATTTTACAAGAAAAAAAATACAAAGCGGATTTCCTGACAGAGATAATTGCCTGACAAGGACTTAAAAAGGGCGACGCATTCGTTCATTTATTTATTTTTTATTTCTATATATAGATTTTTGTATGCATACATATTTATTTACTGTATTTAAATAAAATTATTTTTTAATTTTATGTAAATAAAATATTTTTCTTGATTTATCAATTTTTTATATTAATTCGAGTTTTATTTGAGTTTTAAGTATTAATCGTTGATAACTGATTCTTCAGATTCGTCCGATTTATCTGTTGCTATATCAACTTCTTTGTAGCAAACAACAAAGCTAACACTTTTTTAATCTATAAATTAATATATCTAGTTTATAAACATATAAAAAATATAAATTTTTAAAAAGTTTAAACCGGTGGTTCTTAACGTGGGTGGTACCACCCCTTGGAGACATTTCGGTCCCTCGAGAGGGCAATAGGTTTTAAGGAGGTGTTAGGGGGAGTGGTGAGCTAATAAATGCGGAATGATGAAAAAATAAAAAAAAAACACCAGCATCCGGCAACACGTGTTATAGTAAGTGAAATCAGAATAGTTATGTACAGGGCCGCATTAATCGGCCCATTAATCAGGGCCAGATTTATATAATACAAAAAAAAATGTCATCAGCAAAAGATTCCTGTAAAACAATATAATAATAGTTTGTAATAATAACTTGTATAAAAACAGAAGAAAAAAAAAAAAAAGACGTCTTAGGATAATGGAGTCGGGTGCAGCCTCACTGTTATAGGTAATTTAATGTATATCTGTAAGCAACGATAAACTATTGTTAATGAAAAAACGATTCTGAGCGCAGTTCAGTTGACAGTGATGCTTTGTCAACAATATATATGTCATATTTCGATCAAATAATTAAATAGGCATTACATATATATTTTTTAATAATATTATACCAATTTTCCCATGTTTTTTCCCGATATTTTCCATTTCAAACTCCTGGAAAAATCGAAAAATTATCTCCTTAAAGTACCTTCCCAGTCAGTTTTTTTTTCAGAAAAAGTCCTATCATTTTAAATCTGAATGAAATTGCTGATAGAAATGTTGTACACAGAAAAAAAGGCCATAAATATTTTTTTACTCATACCTATATTTCGTACATTTTCCGTTTTCCCGACATTTTATCCCGGTTTTTCCTAGATATTATAAAAACCGTTTAAAAAATCAAAAAGCGACTTCTCTAAATTACACATGGAAATAAAATGTCATTTCAAAAAATAAGCTGAACTCGATATGTCGGAGCAAGATTTCTGGTAGAAAAGTTCGCATAACAAATTTAGGGGCAATTGGAATCATTCCTCGAACGCATGGTTTATCGTTGCATAGAATATATAAACCCATTTACCTCAGTGGGATCCACGGGAGGGATCATCGAAAAAATCGTAAATGTTATGTTTTAATAATTACGAATTCTGCATTTCTACAGGTTTACTTTTGCTATTATTGTGAATATTATTTATAAAATAAAAATAAATATTACATTGAAACCATTTTCAGGCAATACATAGCAATCTTGATACATTATTTGTATACACATACTTATCTGTATCTTTATTGCATTTCTGTAATCCGGCCCACGAGAGAAGTACACGATTTCGCGCACGCCGACTTATTGCAACGGGGCCCCGTTTCCCCCCCCCCCTCCACTTTGTGCCATTCAGTATTTCAAATTTTAATTACATGCTGAATGTGACAGAATATTTAATACGCTTACAATATATTACGAGATGAAAAAGCAAATTAATGGTACATTTAACAAAGAAAGACAGAACGTCTACATCATCAAACAATTAAATTTGTATCATTCTTTAAAATGTTAAAATATTCATTTAATATTTAACTTAATAGTTTTAACAATAATCGGAAACTTTGTTTAATATTTTGAAAATTAACTTCTTCTAACAATTCATTTTCAACGATCATTATAAATGTCATTAATTTTTCATCACCAATAGATTTATGTTTTTTTTTTTTTTTTTTTTTTTTTTTTTTTTTTTTTATTATTATTATTTGTGAAGCCCAAAAATCGGGAATTTTGGGAATTATTTTCAAATTTTTCGCCATCGATGTACATTTTTGGTGTTTTAATTTACTGAAACTATGAATCATAGATAATAAGTTATTCTCCTCCCACGATAACAGGAATTAAAAAAAAATACACAGAAAAATGAATTCAGTTTGACCTTATCTTCTAAGACCGAGGATTTGACTGAGGTGTGCACGTAAACGTGACTATTCTATTCTATATACATCTGTCCTATTTTAGTGAGAACATTTGAAATTATCACTGTCAATTCAATGAATCTCAGCAGCCCATTGATCCAGGGAAATTTATCTCTTCAACTCTTGTGGACAGTCTACAAATTTAACGTTTAAAACATATTTTTTTACAATAAAAATAAATATTACAACCCATTTACTTCTTTCATACTTTCATTCCTTTCTTCAGTTTAAAGTGATCAGTTGACGTTTGAATAACATTGAACATTATTAATAACA